GTTTATTTGTCTGTTTATAAGGTTTATATGTCTGTTTACTAGGTTTGTATGTCTGTTTACAAGGTTTATATGTCTTTTTACAATGTTTGTCTTTTTACTAGTTTTATATGTCTGTTTACTAGGTTTATATGTCTGTTTACTAGGTTTATTTGTCTGTTTACAAGGTTTATATGTCTGTTTACAAGGTTTATATGTCTGTTTGCAAGGTTTGTTTGTCTGTTTACAAGGTTTGTTTGTCTGTTTACAAGGTTTGGTGGAACAGTTGTAAAGATGGTGGTATTTTCTAACAGCCTCGGTGGAGAAGTTAAGTAAAATGACAGCTGCATGTAGTTTAGCTGCTTTTCAGCATAAACACCCCCACAACGTTGTGACCAATCACGCAATACTTGGCACATATCTTGGGAGGCAATAGTTCTGATGGGGGTTGTGCCCAAAACCGGTTCTCACATCATTTTCTTCATGCAGCTATGTCAGCAAGACATAATTTCAGCGCTTTTGATGACTAGCCAGCCTCAACAAGTCCCAGCCCCCGACCCAGCAACTTTTAGAACCTCCTTCAGAACCCTCAGGAGTTCTCTGTAGGACTTCATCAGTCCCTCTCTTGGTCCTGGAGGAGTTCTGGACCACTCTTCTTTCTATCATTTTGAGGTTTCTGCTCAGCTCTCTGAAGGTCCACCACAACATTTTGGTCAGGCTGATGTTCTGGACTTTAACTGGACCGTTGCACCACCTTGGTCCTGTTCTTTTTGACCCGTTCTGTTGTAGATCAGCTGCTACGGTTGGGATCTTTGTACTGTTGGAACCAGTTTGGTCCAATCTTCAGTTGTTGGACAGATGGACTCACATCTGGTTTACAGAGGAGTTCTGGTCCACTCAGTGACTGACAGGAGTCCAAACCATCAGCCCTCCACCACTGTGCTGAACATCTGTCCTTTGGTCTGGTTCTGGTCCAGACCTCTTGTGGTTCCTTCAGATGAAACTTCACACCTGAGTCGAGCGGCCATCTTGTTTTAGACTGAAGTGATTTTCTTCTGCAATCCTTCAAACAAACCAGACTTCTTCAGTCTAACTGCCCTTTCATGACCTTTTGACCTTTGACCTGCAGACTGACACCTGTAGAGTCTGTGATGGAGATCATGTCTCTGAGCACTGCATGGTCTGACCTTGGGGTGGATCTCTTGTGAAGATTGTCAGCTCTCTCAAATGTTTTCCACTTCTCTCTGTAGAACGATGGACTCCAGATAGTTTTAAATGACCTTTGACCTTTCTCAGATTGATGACAGCAACAGCTGCTTCTCTAAGTTCATTGCTGATGTCTTTCCATCTTGGTGTTGTGTTAACACTCACTAGCAGCTCCTTGCTGATCCTGAAACTCTGAGATCCTGTGGAAGCAGCAGGACTGGATGCAGTTTTTCATTCACTGATTTTTTTTTTAAATTTTAGCTTCATTTTTGTTTAATAAATAACAAAATGGTGGAATCTTTGTTCACTTGAGGTTTGATGTGAATCATTTTATAACCTGATGAAGATCAGATCAATTTTATATTGTTCTAAAATGTGCTAAGAGTTGAAAGAGAGCTGACTTTAGCCGGCTCAATTTAATTTCGAACAAACGGTAGTTAATTTCATGCAGGGTGGAGGGAAGGAGGTCATAAATTAAAAGAGGATGTAGAAGCGGTTCACAGGTTTCAACAGTTCAGTTATCTGAACGTCACCAGCCTGACTGAACCTCCCAGCTGCAGCTGAAAACTGAAACCAGCATATTTTCCTTCTGATTACTGGATGTTCAACTTCACCGACAGCTGGAAGAGACGCTCTTCACCTGCTGCCACAGGAAGGAGGCGGAGCTGCAGGATGTTCACCTGCAAAAGCTAGCTCAAGCTCAAAGGATCATAAAAAGACAAAAAATAGAGCCAGTCTGCTGAAACAGATTTCAAAGAGGACAATGTTATTGAAGAATTTAAGGGATCTAAATGTACGTCTATGGGGAAAACAATTGTAAATGAAGTTTTTTTTTAAGTAACAAAGTTACCAAAAAAAGTTGTAGCACTCATGTCCTGAATAAGCTGAACATTTTGATGTACTATTGACTAAAATGACACAAAGTTCACAGAAGTAGTTGGGTTGCAAATTACCTACAAAAACGAAACAGAAAAAAAACCCAGTCCATTAATCATTTATTGATGAATGGTGTTTGTAGCAACAGAGATCCAGTTAAAATCCCCCTTATTTTGTTTTCAACTTTACACTGCTGTTTATTTGTGACTTTACACCACAGTTTCGTTGTAATTTTAAACCAGTGTTTTGTTGTAACTACTGTTTAGTTGTAACTTTCCACCACATACTGTATTTGTTGTAAATTTACACATTTATAGTTATAACTTTACACCGCTGCCCACTTGTAATTTTACACTACAGTTTAGTTTAAACCTTATGCCACTGTTTAGTTGTAACTTTACACCAGAGTATAGTTGTAAATTTACACTGTTTTTCTGTCTGTAAAGCACTTTGGTTGGCCTTGTCGCTGTTTTAAGTGCTCTATAAATAAAATGGTATGGTATGGTAATTGTAACTTTACGCTGCTGTTCAGTTATAACTTTACACTGCTGTTTAGTTGTAACTTTACACTGCTGTTTAGTTTTAACTTTACATAACTGTTCAGTTATAACTTTACACTGCTGTTTAGTAGTTACTTTAAACCACAGTTTAGTTGTAATTTTACTCAGTTCTTTAGTTGTAACTTTACGCTGCTGTTTAGATGTAACTTTTTAAACTGCTTTTATAGTTGTTACTTTTAACTGCTATATGTTTGTAACTTTATACTGCTATCTAGTTGTAACTTTATACCACTGTTGTAGTTTTACACTGCTGTTTAGTTTTGAAGCATCCTGGTGGTAAAGTACAGTAATTTAAATAATCTTTTACAAAACTTTTTATCAAATACAGTACATATTGCAGAAATACCTGATAGGTAAAAAGTACTCTGAAACTTTGCTGGAGTTTAAGCACATTTGGCAGCTGCTACAGACTCAGAATGGATTTTTAAAATGTTTTTTTTTCTTTCATGTTTTTATTAGGTCCAGTTTTGGAGTTTGGAGCAGAAGGAAAAAGCAGGAGAAAGAACCTTACATTTGGCAGCTGAAGTAAAAGCAGTGGACTGAAAGGGACCAAGAAGACCCATATGAAGTGAACTGGCATGGCCGTCTTCAAGCCTGAAAATGTGGAAGATTTCTATGAGATTGAGGAAGTTCTTGGAAGGTATGAAGATGCTTCCTGTGGCTTTTTGTGTGACTTAGTTTTCATCATCACCACAGTAGATTTACCTGAGGAGACGCAGTTTTAGAATGACATTTTAGCAGTGGTGGGCACAACACAACCACCATTTCTTGACATCAACTTTGTTGTCACACCACTATTTCAACCCTTGTATTTGGAGAAAATCAGCTACACAATTATTTTTGTCGTTGTTTTCACTTATTTATTTACCGTATTTTGGTGCAAGCAATAAACACTATTTTTTCTGACAAAGCCTAAAAGTCCTATTTTTATTTTATTTTGTCAGAATGTTTTCAGATGCACTCATAACCTCATCATAACTTTACTACACTCTCATGTTCCTGAGAGGAAAAATTGATCACATTACAATACACTGTAAAAACAACTTCTATTCCCACATTTATCATATGCATTCCTCTCAGAAATGTTTTTCTTCACCTCTTTAAATTTTATTTATTTGGCCTTTATTTTACCAGGTTGAAATGTTTTAGAACCATTCTCATTTACAAACATGACATACCTATACTTTAGATTTTTATGTTAGCTCACAAGGTGGTAATCTGATTTTATATTTGAGAGCCTCTAAAAATCTTCAGACAAAGAGTTCTACTCACCCCAGAAGAGGTACGTCTTTCCTGGCTAGCTATCACTGACGAGTCCCACCTCTCGTCTTGTCCCAACAAAATTATTTGTTTGGATGTAAAGAGCAAAAACTCTCTTGTAATGTGCACAAGTAAACATTTAGTATGAAAAAGCTGTTTCACATGCATGCAGGCTGCAGAATCAGACGCTCCACGGCTGACAGCAGCTGACTCTCATTAGCGTCCCCTAAAGCCGAATGTCATTAGCAAGTGAACTGTGCTGCAGCAACTAGCTAGTATATTCAGGTTAGTACAAGGAAAAAAAACAGATCAGGTAATGGAGTTGTTCGTGATGAGTAGAGATGACAAAACACTTCTTGGTCAACCACAGAGTGACACGTGTAAGTTGGACTGAAAACAAGGCCTCGTTTTCTACCAGATCTGTAGGGTCTGCATAAAACTACAGATTGAAATAAAAAATAAAAAATGTCTAAAAATCATTTTGTGCATACTAATGAGGGAAAATGCCCCCCCCCCCCCCCAAAAAAAATTTTACATAAAATATTTTGTCAGTTTTTAAAACTACTGAAATGTATGTTTTTTTGTGTGTTTTTTTTAAATACTAAAGGCCCTTAAAGAGTTCATCTAGAAAAAAAAACTAAATATATTTTTGTGTCAGGCTAAGCTCTAGAAAACTGACTAGTTTACTGTTGGAAAATAAAACTAAAACATACTCGTTTAAGCAGTTCAAGAGGTTGATATTTCCCCTAAGGAAGACGAACGGTCACAAAGGTAAAGGATGATTCAAGGGTTAAATTTCCTTTAAGGACCATAATTTGAATCTTGCTGCACTAACGGTGTTTAATACATTCTGACACGTTGTTCCTTTTATTCCTAACCTCAAAGGAAAAAATACCAAATAAAATTTTACCCACTATCCTTCACCTCCGACACATATCTGTTTCACGCTCAGTAAATTTTCCACTCGATGCCCGTGTTGTGGTTATGTGGACACGGGGTGGACGCCTTCTGTAGACTAATTTTAAAAATGTTTTTATGGGAGGGGGCAGAGCGGTACAGCAGTTGCGCTCTGTTCCATGTAAAGTGGGATGTATAAAGTAAAGATGTGCAGCAACATGCTCTCGCTTTCATAAATCTGAATATATTTCTCATTTGGTCCGTACATCAACTTTCAGTATAAAAGCTACGTACTCTTATTGTGACCCCAGGAACCCCAAAGTTTTCCACACTGATCATTGAAACAACAGTCAGACAGGTCTTCCTGGGTTTCAACTAACCATTCTTGCTTTGCTTTGGTGTAGAGTGCTTTAGACACAGTCATTCTGTGCTTCTTCTATGTTGTAGCAGCTGGCAAGTGCAATTAAAAACAAAAAAAAGCACACTCCTTCTTTTAATATCTTTGAATAATCTGTTTTTTATCTGGTTGCACACACCGGACCCTGAATGCATGTACCGTTACACCCGTACAGTCTGTCACCAAAGGTGTGCTGAAATCACAGCATTAAAATAAATAACTACATTTCTTGGAGCAAGCTTCCGTGTCTGTATGTTACCAGTGTACTGTAAACTATCTCTGTGTTCTTTCCAGTGGCCATTTTGGTCAAGTTCGAAAGGTCCGTGAAAGGACCTCAGGGACTTGTTGGGCAGGCAAGTTCTTAAAGGTTCGAAAAACGGCCTGCAGCCGTCTGGGCCTGGAGCGGAGCAGCGTGGAGCGAGAGGTGGAGATCCTGCAGGCTGTGAAACATCTGAACATCGTCAACCTCAAAGACGTTTTTGAGAGCCGATCGGAAGTGGTGCTTATCCTTGAGCTGTAAGTCAAGTGTCCCTTCACAAATCCCTCAGCCAGGGGGGACATCAGCTGGTCTACTGGGATTGTACAATTTAGGCCTTACATAGCCACTTTTACTTCTGTAAACGGGTCAGACAGGAATCCAGTAGAATTTCTTCCCTTCTTTCTCTGTTTGACACCTTAGCATTAGTGGAGGGGAGTTATTTGACTTCATCGCTGAAAAGGAGAACCTGTTGGAGAGCGAAGCCATCCAGTTTATAAAGCAGATCCTGGAGGGACTGAGGTTCCTGCACAACAACAACATTGCACATTTCGACCTGAAGGTACCGGTAACTATACACTGATGCGAGCTTTGTGCTTGGTTTGAATCATAAAACAACTATTCTACTTTTGTTTTTAGCCTGAAAACATCATGCTGTCAGACAAAGTCGCCCCGCTTCCTGTCATCAAACTTATCGACTTTGGACTGGCGTACCACTTCTGTCAAGGGGAGGAGTACAGGAGCTCAAGTGGTACGCCCCAGTACATTGGTGAGGGTGAAGAATTCCTTACTTAACGTATTACTTTTAAAAATATGTATTTGTAATCAGCTATGTAAACATGTACATCCATGGGGAAAAAAAGTCCACCCTCCTTCAATTTTAGGGTTTTACAGATCAGGACAGATACAAATGATCTGACCTCTAAAAGGTGCATTGAGTCTGATTTAACCCCACCGTGTTAGTTATTAAACAAAAATGAAGCCAAAATAGAAAATCTGTGTGAAAACTGCATCCAGCTCCTGACCCAGCAGCTTGTAGAGCCTCCTTCAGCAGCAGAACCCTCAGGGGTTTTCTGTTTCAGTCTCTCTCATGGTTGTGGAGGAATTCTGAAGGTCCACTGCAGGTTTCAGTCAGGTTGATGACGAACCAATTCACAAAAACTATTGTATACAAAAGTCATTAAAAAGCCACTATAAAAGACATAGCTATGAAACTATTTGGGCTTGTGGTGCCTGATTTTATGCATGTGTATTTGTAAATGTAAAAAGGTGAATCTGGAGCCGTAAAGTCTCCAAAAGTCCCATTCACAGGCAAGCTGATCCGTGCCAAGCAGGTGATTTGTGCACATGTATTCAAAAGTTTGTATATGCAGAATATAACTATTTGTACAATTTGAAATGTGTGTATTTGTAAAACTTGTTGTACACTTGTGGATCTTGATGTATGCTTGTGTGACTTCTTTTGTGATTACTTTTGTCCCCATAAATTTTTTCTCTTTCCTTTTAGCGCCTGAGATCATAAATGGTGAACCTCTCAGCACAGCAGCAGACATGTGGTGAGCGTTATGCACCGACTGTCCTTTACACTCAGTTTATAGGTGCATTTCCACTGCAGAAACTTTTTCACGAAACAGGGAAGTTTTCTGGCGCAAAATCCTCCTGTTGTAGCCAAGTTTCTGTCAGACAGAATCAATCAATATGATGATCAGTTATCAGTTCATTAACCAACAGGGATTTAGAGGAAACAGATCTGATGTTCAATAATCTACATTTAAGGATTTTATTTTGTTCTGGTAAAGTAACTGTTTATTTTATTAATACTTTTATGATTTATATTTTGAAAGCTGATTTTTTTTGTTTATTTAATTTGAGCCATGGCTGACACTGTTTCAATGGGGGTGTGGGTGGGTAACAGAGGAGAAGCAGCAGAGAGGTGTGGAGGACTACAACTCTGCTTCCTGGACTGGACCCTGGATTGTCAATAATTTGGGGGATAAACAAAATCAGCCATATTTCTAGAAAGAAGAGCGGCTCCGTCCAAAGTGGGATGGATGCCATCTCTCCGCATCAGACCAGGTTTTCCCCAGAAAGAACTCCAGTTATCTATGTAGCCCACGTCGTTACCAGAACACCACCTGGACACCCAGCGATTGACGTACCATTAAATATGTCCTCGCTGGTCAGGTTGGGAGGGGACCAGAGAAAACTACGGAGTCCAACACAGTTTTGACAAAGTTACACACCAAAGCAACATCAGTTTTAGTGACATGTATCCGATTGGCATACCCACGTGTCGTTACCACCAACGTGAATAACAATCTTACTGTATTTAGCCTTAGTCAGCAGTTTCAGATTTGATTCAATTTTTCCTGCTCTGGCCCTCGGAATGCTGGAGTCCCTAGTTTATATTTCATTCATTTAAGCTACCATAAGACTACATTTGTTAAATGTAGGCCTGACATTACCACTAAAGGAGGCAGAGGAATAACTAAACATCTGACACGCAGAGCAAGTGAGAATAGAGGAAGCCAGGAGAGAACCAGAAGCCATGCTAAGCTAACACTAGCAAGAACTAGCAGATCCCAAATGCACAGATAGAACAAGTGTTGAAAGACAAAAGGTGGCTCAAGCACTATCCAATAGTAGAAAAACAACTGTATCAAGGGTGTTTGTGTACTAGAATGTAGATCTATGCAAAATATATATAAATGCAGAAAAACAAAAGATTCCTTGTGGAAACAAATTAGTCCAGCTACCAGAATCAGAATAAACTTTATTGGCATTGCACCGAGATACAACGAGAACATGTAAGTACAGTCGTCCGAAAGATGGACGGAGTGCACGAAGGTGCTACTATGAAAGCGCAGCCCTCATTATTCTTATTCAGAATAATATTTTGCTTAGATGAGAAAAGGAAAGGGCAGCACGGTGGCGCAACTGGTAGAGCTGCTGCCTCTCAGCGAGCAGGTCCTTGGTTCAAACCCCGGTCCAGGGGCCTTTCTGGGTGGAGTTTGCATGTTCTCTCCGTGCATGCGTGGGTTTTCTCCGGGTGCTCCGGTTTCCTCCCACAGACCAAAAACATGCATGTTAGACTGATTGGTAACTCTAAATTGTCCCTAGGTGTGAGTGAGAGAGTGAATGGTTGTTTGTCTCGTGTGTCTCTATGTGGCCCTGTGATGGACTTGCGACCCGTCCAGGGTGTACCCCGCCCCTCGCACAGTGATTGCTGGACATGGGCACCAGCGACCCCCGTGACCCAAACTGGAATAAACGGGTAAAGATAATGGATGGATGGATGGATGGAGAAAAGGAAAGAAAACATGAGGAGGGACAGTATAAAAAAATGATCTCTCACGCCGTGTCCTAGACAGGGCACGATTTGAGGCATCAAAAAAACCTACCACAGCAAAGCAACATAAACAGACGTGATACATGTACATATAGACGGTGAAGACATTGAATTTTTAAGGGAAAGTCGTAGCATAGTCCAGAGTCTCAGCCATTGTCCAGATAAGAGGTGTTATTCATCACCAGCTCGGGTGAGGCTCTGTCACATGTCCACAGTCTTGGGGAAGGGAGCGGTGAGGAGACAGACAAAACATCTTTGTTTTTTCAAAACATGCCAGGAGTAATTGAGATAAGTCCGCCGTCAGGCAGAACTCGTGAATTGTTGTTTCTGCCTTTTTAAAGTCTCACTGGTATATATTCCTCTGATGGAAACTCCAAACAGCCGAATTGATTCCGTAAAGCCTTAAAGCCGAGCTCACAGCTTCTCCAAGATTATTCCAGCAGAGAAAACAGAAAGTGACACAATACGCCTTACCGCAAACGTCCTGCGTCCTCCATTTCTCCCTCTAGCATTTGTCACACTGCGCTGCCTCAGACAAGATTTATAAAAATCTCCCTCTGTTTTTCTACTCGGTGTACCTCCTACCCACTTTAATATCTTGCACCAAAAACATTGTTGACTGCATTTCCTGTTCAAGTCCAGTGCAGAAAAACACTCATCTCGAAAACTACCAATATTCACTATTCATATCCCTCAGAGACAGAGGACATCTGTACCGCTTGTTCTTCTTGTGTTTAGGTTTTGCACCTAGCATGCAGGCATCGTGTTTATGCTCCATGCCTTGTTTCCTGTTTCTGGTGTGTTTTCAAGGCAGTGTTACAGCACCACACAAAGGTCTAGTTGCTACAATGGTTTGGCTCATTTTCCATCATTTCATGTAGATGAGGACATTTTTAGAGATGGTACAATGTTTATGCGAACAGTTTTTAGAAATGACACATAAAAGGATTGTTTAGGAGAAACCGAAGTTTGATATCATCAGGACCTGATTTACCAGGTTTGCTAACAACGATTGACTAGAAGCATGCATATGAAAGAACCGAAGCAGCGTTGCACTGTTGGTGTGTGCACCTCTGACAGTCTACGTCTATTTTTATACTACCGGTAGATTAAATGTCCTATCTTCTCTCATTCTTGGGTATTGAAGCCAGCAGGACCTGGTTTATAGCTGTTGTGTTGGATTTTTGGGACCGGAGGTTGTGCACCAGGACTGTGAGGCTTCAAGTCCTACCTACTCACATGCATACAATCAACGTGTTACACAACTTTTTAATGCGCCTGCTGGAGGTGGGACAACTTATAGCACAGTCTTCATTCGTACGTATGTCCGTAAACTTTCTCTTGTCTCACCCATGATTTCAGATCCTCTTTAGATAATTTAAAGAAACGTCATACACCCACGTATCATCGCCAGATGGAGTGTCACATACACTTTTCATCTCTCCTGCTCCAAGGCCACACATCAAGGTCAAATGTTATCCATGGTCTTTCCTTGTCCTGGCCATTGTTACAGATTGCTGTAGAATAGTTTGTTGACGGGTGTATAATGTGCTGTACTTTTGTTTGAGCATGAAAGAAGTAATTACAGCTAAAAATGTTGGAAAATGTGTAAATCAACATAAAACTATAACGTTAAAACCATGTGAATCAACAACGGAAAACTGGATGTACATTTTAAGAAGGGAAAAGTTCATGTGAATGAGGCAGAAATTAGAACTTGTACTGGGACCAGCTTATAGGGACACTGCTCCTCTTCTGGGACCTCTTGTGTGGTCCAGTTTTGATACCTGCCAATGTGTCTTGACCAGTTGCAACACTTTGCCAGGGGAGGAGAAGCAACATGCCAGCAACTTCAGTTGCCTTATATATCCTTAGTGGAAATCCAACATGGCTGAAATTACCAAGATAAATAATTACCGGTTTAAAAAGGTTCTGGGTTTCTTAGTGGAAATGCACCTGTAAGTTCTGATTTGTTTTGAACTCCACACTGTGTCAAAACCACTGACTGTTTCTTGTCTCTGTCCCACCAGGAGCATTGGAGTTATTACCTACATTCTGTGAGTGACATTGTTTTGTTGAAGAGTTGGCATTAAATACTGCATGTTGTTGCACATATTTTAATGCAGTCATCAAGTGTTCTTTTCTGCACCATTATAAACAGTACAAAATACATTATTTATTATTATTATGTATTTGATTCTCCTTAAAAAACTTTTTTCTAAAGTAGTTTAATTTCAATTGCTAGTTTCAAACTGCACAACATAATGTTAATTTTAGGCTCTGGTCCGTTTTTAAGTCCATTTTTTTTACACACCATTTTTTCATATTACATATCCAGCAAATTATGATAGATACATAAATAAATACCTATGTTCTCAAACAAACATTGAAATGTAACGCATACTGGTTTTAAAAACGTTTTTTATGACAATTTTAAGCTGTTTTTGTCATGGCCTTGGAAACTGTCCCTTCCATATTTGGGGTGTGATGTCACGTCATGGACCCGATCATGAGAGACCACCAGATTTCTATTGAGGCAGCATCAAAAATGGGCAGTCTCATGGAGAAAACACCCACTTTCCCCACCTGTTTTCACCCCCACGGAGCAAAACACCTCCACCTTCTTTCTGACTGAGGCCCAAAATTATGAAGCACCAAAAAATCTGCAGGAAGAAGAAAAAGATGCAGAAGTTGAGTTTGGTGTTTATAGAGACAGAGAGGGCGGGAGTGAGTAATGAGATTTGAAAGATTTGATATTTAGCATGTTTGGATTTTATAGTTGGAGTGTAGCGTGTTTAGTGTTTAGTGTCTGTTTGAGCCAAAACAATGAGACAATTTTTGAGTGTCAGTCAGAGTTTCTTTATTTGTCATTCCCACCACATGTGTGGTACATGTGGTGGAACGAAATTGTGTACACAGGGTCCCAGTTACATCCAACAAAAGTATAAAATGTAAAAGAAAAACAGTAATAAGATCTAAGATACGAACTAAGAAAAACGTTAACTAAAAATGTGCTAAGCACTAGTAGTACAAAAACAATACGCTGAACAGCAGCACGAACATGAGTCTGTGTGAGCAGATGAGCACGCATGAACACATCAACATGAAACAATCAACAGCATGAAGTGATTTTTCACAGTGATTATTCTGGTTAGAGATTCATGAGTCTAACAGCCTCAGGGTAGAAGCTGTTCCTCAGTCTAGTGGTTCTACACTTAATGCTCCTCAACCTCCTTCCTGAGGGGAGCGGAGCAAAAAGTGTGTGTGCTGGGTGAGTGGGGTCCTTCATGATGCAGGTGGCCCTCTTCCTGCATCTGGAGGTGTAGGTGTCTGTGATAGTGGGGAGGCTGACTCCAACAGACTTCTGTGTAGTCTTCACCAGCCTTCACCGTGTGGATGTGAAGCTGCAGATTCTGTTTGAGGTGGAGGAAATGGACTAAACCGTGGAGTCAGAACCTTCTCAGACAGAAGAGACAGAGATGAAAAAGAAGAACAGTCTGAGACAGAGTGAGAACTTTGACAAGGAAGTGGGAGATTCATTATTAGTTTTGGAAGATGAAAGAGAGGAAGAGTGCATGGAGCACCACACTCCGGCCTGTGAATACACACCTGCTTGTGAATAATACTCACTGAGTCCTGCCTGTGCCCGGTCCCTGACATTATCAGTTTTTGGTAATCTTTGGCCGTGTGATCAGGTGTTTCCATGACTGGTTTGTTTGTTTAAGGTTTTTTAAACACTTGTGCAGCCAAAATGTGAAATACAAAACATAAAATCATTGTATTTTATGACAGTAATTACCTATTAAGAGTACTTGGAACTATAATGGCGGGTCTAAAACAGTTGTCAGGTCCTATGGACGTTCAAAAAGACAAACAAAAAAAAAAAGTAGAAATGTTTCGTCTTTCATCCAAAAGACTTCTTCAGTCTTTTTAACGTTTTTTTTTAGATGTTTCTACCTGGATTATTGAGCATGCATCAGGATATAATGGTGGGTGTTGGACTTTAAATTCAAGTAGGTGACTGAAGACTGAAACACTTGAAACACTTAAAGGTGACGATAGTTTTCAGTGGACACATTTTCATAAAAGTAACCCACGGAACAATAAATGGTCACGAATGGCCAACAGCTACAAAAAGTTCAGAAAGTGTTCAGACCCCCATCACTTATGTTATGTTGCAGCAGAACACTGGTCTACAGAAGACCTCCAAGCTGACTATTAGAGCAAAATCCACAAGGTCAGAGGAACTCTCTGTAGAGCTCAGAAGTTTTTGCGAGATCCAGATCTGAGGAAGACTACAGAAACATTTCTGCTGCACTGAAGGGTCCCAAAACTACAATAACCTCCATGATTAAGAAATGGAAGAAATTCAACACAACAAGAACTCTTCCAAGAACTGGTTGTCTGAGTGCAACAAGCAATCGAGGGAAAAGGACCTGATGGTCATTTTGACTGAACTTCAGAGATACTGACTGAAGATGGGACAAAATTATAGGATTACAACTGGAACCGTTGGCCATTACCAATCTGGGCTTTATGGCTGATTGCTTAGATATAAGCTGACTGAAGGACTCAGTCTGAGTCTGAGCATCATGCGGTTGGAGTGTTTTTCAACAAGCATTGGAGAACGGTCAGGATGCAGCAAAAGTTTAATAGAGAAAATACATAAGAGATCCTAAACAGAAACCTGTTCCACAATTCTCAGAACTTCCGACAGGGCTGAAGGTTCAACACAGAGAGCAACACACATGGACAACTTTGTCAATGTCCTAGAATGGTCTAACCAGAGCCTGACTTGAATCCTATCAAACATTAAATGAAGTGTGAAAATGGTTTCACCATTGATCCAACTGGACTGAGCTTGAGAGGATTTATAAAAAAGAACATCAGAAAATCCTTCAACCCATGTGTGCAAAACATGTGGCATCAAATCCAAAGAGTCAAGGTTGCAACTAAAGAAGCTTCAACTCAGGACTCTGCAAAGGCTCTGAATACTTGTGGAAACATGACATCTGAGGTGACAACTATAAAAAATGTATTTTTTTGACTGTAAATCAGACTGTAAGTCACAGTCTCAAGCAGACTGATCGGCCTGAGTTCACAGGTTCATCTTGAGCATTTACCTGTCGTGGAAATCTAGAATGAATGGAGGTATTAACACGTGCTGTAATTCCACTCACGTTTGTTGTTTTCTGTTCTCAGATTGAGTGGTTTGTCACCATTCCAAGGCGAGACCGACGAGGAGACTCTGAGGAATATTCTTGCCTTAAAGTACGAGTTTGATAGACACTACTTCAGCACAACCAGCGCCATGGCCAAAGATTTCATAATGAAGCTTTTGGTGAACAATTCCATGTACGTGGTATAGGTACAGTATTTCTCTTGTGCAGTTAAAGTGTCTTTGAAGATTTGGTTAAAAGGCCACATTAGAGAATTATGGACACAATCAGAAAGAATACACAAAAGTTTCAGATGACAAAGTTGGTCTTTTTAAATGGCCAACATTATAAAGTCTTAAAGCTGAATATTCTGGGTTTTCTTTAGATACTCTTTATTGGACTGTCGTAAAACAAACACATGTAGGGTTAATGGAGAACTTTAAATGGGGGTTTGTGCAGCATTCTACCATGAAATGTCAGTGGTGTCATTGCGCCTCAATAAAACAAGATTGTTGCATGTGGGGTCTCTTGCTACAGATTGCTGTATAACAGCTTGTCAACAGATGTGCAATGTGCCGTGTGCTGTAATCTTGTGGAAAATAATTTTCAACAGGTTCTTGTTTGGCTAACCGTTAGCCTAGCCTGGAGGACAATGTCTGCCCTTTTCTTCATACTCTGCTCTATTAAATTCAATTCAGTTCTTTATATAACAGCAAATCACAACAGAAGTTGTCTCAGTGCACTGAACAGAAACATTCATATATATGTATGTATATATAAATATATATATATATATATATATATATATATATATATATATATATAAATCCAATTAGTAAAAGTTATCTATATAAGGAAGCCAGCAGATTGTGTTGAATCGACACTTCGTTGCAGTCTCCCATCCTGAGCAAGCACAAAGGCAACAGTGGAAAGGAAAAACTCCCTTTTTAACAGGAAGAAACCTCCAGCAGAACCAAACTCAGGACAAGCAGCCATCTGCTTCGACCAGCTGGGTTTGAGAGGAACAGGAAGTAGGAACAACCTAACAGAATGGCAGGTCCAGGTGTAACCCCTATTGAAAGAAAGACCAAAAAAAAACAAAAAAACACCTATTAATGATACAAATAATTACAAATACAAAACTGGTAGAGTAAGTAAAGTTCAAGTCAACTTTATTGTCATTTTCATCATGTGGTACATGAGGTGGAACAAAATTGTGTACTCAAGGTCCCAGTTACACCCCAAATATCAAAAATATAAAGTATAAAAAAGAAACAGTATACAAGGATCTAAGATATATGCTAAACTATAATAATATAATATAGTACGGTGTATTAAACCTGTTGTGTGTTGCAGTGAGAGAATGACGGCTGACGAGTGTTTGCTTCATCCGTGGATAAAGGTGACTAACATCTTTTTATCGTTTGTTCCGTTCTGTTTGCTCCGGTGTCTGGTAGTGGGAGTTGTTGCTCACTGACCCAAATGTTGTCATGATTTTTGTATTCCAGCCCATCACACGCACGCAAGCAGTCAACAGGAACCGGTCCTCCATCAATATACGGAGCTTCAAGAAGTTTAATGCAAAAAGGAAATGGAAGGTGGGTCTGGACACACTGAGTGGCAAATATTACTTAAAATACTTTGTGTATTCTATACTATTATTAGACGGTCTGCTGTCAGTTCCTGTCAGTATTTGATATTTTGTTAACAGACGGTCACACTCAAACAGAGGCAAACATTTTATCATTTGCCTTCACTTTCAGTGATTATGACTTGTACTATATTATAACCCTCTGTAAAGTAAAGAGATGTGATTTGTGTGTATGTATGGACGTCCCGACTTGTTTTAATTGTCCTCTAGATGTCCTTCAACATGGTGCGGATGTGTAACCAGCTCGTCAGTTTGAGACTACACTGTAAGAGCAGCCCCAAACCAGATCCATTAGAGGTGAGAACACTAAACCAGGTTTTAATCCAAGGTCTTAACTGCTCGTTTTATTGTTGGAGCGGTGTTCTGTTAAAAGTTAGGACCCTCTTTCACACCAGTTTAACATTTTTTGACATCATTAATATACACCCATCGGAAGTCAGGTACATTATGGTGTAGTCTCTGTCCGTAAACGTTCTCTTGTTCCGACCATAACTGAACCCTGTTGATTTCAAGGTCAAAGGTTAAGGTGACTCTTTTGTTAAAACCTTGCTCCTGCTGAGTAACAGAAATGTCAAATTGTTCCCATCTGTCCATCTATAAGACGGTCCACAGTAAGTTGTCCACGGTGTAACTCCACAAATGTTTAGGATAGTAAATATCCTCAGATTATGTCTCCACATTGGATCTTTTTATATCCAAAGAATAATTCTGGTGAAGTCCACTCCTCTCATCATAAAATGGTTTGGACCAGCTCGTAGTTTTCAACAAGTGAGTTCTTCACCTGATAGCTGCAGTTTCATGCTCGTACATGTTCTGTCAAACTGACCTTTGACCCCAATGAATACATGTCTGTGTGAGAGAATTCATGCTTTGGATTTTGATTATTCTGACTAGTCACCAACAGGTGTATTGTACCGTTGGCGGTACTCTTTCACTGTAATTTGTAAAAGTAACATGATTCTGACGTAACCAACTGTGTTTAAACTTAAACTGAAATGTTTTTGTTTTTTCTGCAGCGAGAATGTGAAAGTGACGTAGAAGATTCAGACAGCAAGCCTGCCTCTCTGCTGCGGCGAAGGCTCAGCAGCAGCTCCTAGAGGACGACAGCAAACATGTTGCTCCGGTCCGGTGAAAGTGTCCTGTTAAGGAGAATTGCCCCCAGTCTGCAGTACAACACTGTACGAGCCCTGGTGTGTCTGTTTCTTCATGAAACACCTTCAGGGTGAAGACGTCTGAAGAAGACTTTGGAGAAGCTGCACGTCTTCAGAAATTTACTCATGAAGCTAAAAACAAACATATTTTTTTAATAAAATCTATGTTATGCAAAAAAAATTCATTATTTGCCAAATTCTGGTTCATTGTATAGTTTGCATGTTGTTTTAAACGTCGCCTTATTCGGCTGTCAGACATCATTTCATCTGTAGCCGACTGAAGTTTTAGCTGCTTGGTCTTCTCCAAAGGCTCTGAGCTCGTTGGGTTTGGTCTAACTCCTGACCTTGTTCCAGTTAGACTGAACTAAAAGTTAAGTACCACCAACATGTGACAGTTCGACTGTTAGCTTGGGGGGGGGGGGAGGGGGTTTAGTTTGAAAGAGGAAGAACACTATCAGTTTTTACATTTTTACTTGGGTGAGATTTTATTTTAGCTTTTACTATGCATGTCTTTAGTACTTGTGTTGTACTGTGACATTTTTAGGGAGCGGTGTCGTAAACGTTGAATTCCAGCTGTTTAAATGTTGTCGATTCAGAACATCTGGATTTGTCAGACCCTTTATCATCTGGCTTCCAAAACTAGAGGCCTTTCTAAATACTGCAAACCTCGTTTGGTCATTTTTCTCAGAAGTCTCAGTAAATAAGATCATTTAAAAAAAAATTGTTTTTATTTGTCGCTTATTTAATATTGCATCCTGTTGTAAAGCTGAGCTGATGGAATTTGCTGAGCCGTGTTTCAATTTAAAACACTGTTTTATATGTCATTTAATTAAAAAATATATATTAATCTTGACTGCTTGGAAATGGATTCATTTACAAACTGGGGCTTCATGATTAAAGTGTGCATCTTTCAGAATCAAACTTGGTAGAGGGACATGTTCAGAGTACACAAAAATATTCAGATTTATCAAACCGTGCACATATGTTCCTGCTCACCTCTGTGGCAAGCCTAAAGCGCCAATAAAAAAAACTATTAATTGCTATTACTGTATATTTCAAGGCTATTTTTGTAGTACAATTTAACTAGAATCCACAAATATTACTAAAACTACATTGTGCTACTAGTTAATGCAAGCCGTCTTTGAATGGTCGTTAATATTTAGGCAAAAATAAATTTTACTACCTAGAGTAAAATAGTTACTATTTTACTACCTATAGTTTGATTAAACAATTACATGTCATGGTATAAAACACCAGTATGACAAGCTAAAGGAGAATTTGGCAATTGACGTTTCTCTGAGCATTTGTTTGACTTCAAAGGCATTCAAGATTGATGGCAAATTACAATTCGGCACAGCTCCAGTCCTATTCAACCACAAGTGCATTTAGTCTCCAGCCTGGGTAAATGGCGAGGGTCATGTCAGAAGGGTATCACACTTAAAACACCAAAACTAACATGAGGTCTTCTAAATGACACCATACGGTTCATTTGTGGCCCAGGTTAATGACCGCCACTGGTGCTGTTGACAAACTGTGCTACTGTTAGTCAAAGACCATGAGGGAAACGTGTCAGACAGAAGGAAGAGGAAGGCAAGAGTGTTGAAACTGAGGGTGATGACTCTGAATGTGGTGACAATGACAGGCAAAGATAGAAAGCTGGCCGACATGATGCCGAGAAGGAAGGTAGATGTTTTATGTGTGCAAGAGACCCAAGGAGAAGAGAAGCAAGGTTTGCAGCATTGGAGAAGGGTTTAGGAAGCACGAGAAGATGATAAATGGATTGGGTGGGTCCTGAAGGAGGCATTGGCAAAGAACATAAGGCCTAGAACCGTTCAGTTCTAAAGTTGTAAGATCAGGACATTTAACATGGGACGTACAAAAAGAGATTCCACCATGTTCGTCAACTAAAACTAAGCCATTTACCCATCGATTGTCAAAATGTTCAGCACATTCAGGACGTTCTTGCTTTGAATTCTAGCAACTTTTATTAAAAAAAAAAATTGAAATATTGATTAACGGTAACTTAACACAAAAAAAATCCCCACAGAAATACATTTTTATCATGGTGGGTGATAAATATATTTGTTGGGTTTAATTCAACAGAAACAATTACACAGTCTTTAAAAAAAGTACTTTAATTTATGTAATTAAAGTTCAGCTAGTTATAAATTTTACATCTGAATTCAGGTGACCACATACACTTGAGACAGCAGCAACTATAGTTCCCACAGTTTTGACTCATGAACCGATTTGCTAAATTTCAGGGAATGGTCAGTTCTTAGCACCAACTCCCACCTTTATCTTTGACTTCCTCCTCCAGAGAGCAAAACTTCTCTTATGCACCCCGCTTGTTTTATCAAATCATTTTCTCTAGTCGCTGTGCATTTCCACTTTACTCCCAACAATGCAGAAGCTTCAAGCCCCTCGAAGCCTCTGTTCCCTCCCCAAACTTCTGTCCCAGTAGCGGGTCCTCAATTCTTCTTGGCCTTTGGCGAGTCATATTTCCTCTTGCTGGAGTACCAGAGGAGCAGAGGAATTCCAATGGAGGGCAGAGTCATCACACCGAACGCAGCCCAGTCCAGCTAATGAAGAGATAAACGAGGGATTAAAACAAGTGTAATCAAGAAGCCACGGTCAAATGGACGAGATTTATGTGAGGGTTTTCACTACAAATCACATTCTGCTGAGACTGAATGACTGACAGCTCTCTGACGATCTACTAGAACAAGGGTCTGCAACCTTTTTGATTAAAGAGCCATTTCTGCCCATTCGCTCTTTAAAAGAAATGTGTTCAGAGCCACAAAACCTGCTACAACTGTGATAATCAACTGGTGGCCCATTTCAAGTTTGGTGGAGGGGGTGTTCCAGCCAAAAATAAATAATTTTAATATTTTCTTAATATTTTTACATTTAAGGACAAAAGAAAAAGGCCATATTAGTGGGTGGTGGTGGTGGTGGGGGGTATAGTTTATGCCAATCTTGATATGAATTAAAACACTGAACTATGAGTCCGCCTTTTATTTGTGGAAAATTAAAAAAAAAATGTTTTTTGAAATAAAGCATACATTTAAAGGACATTTTGTTGGATATACAATTGTGATATACATTTAAATTAAAAACAAAAACTTTTTATTTAGCTTTAGTTGTGTTTTTGTTTATTGTCATCAAATGGACTTGCCATATTTCTTTTGAGCAACTTGTCCTAAAAAAAAAAAAAGTGTTTCAAATCATTTCTGGTAGATTTGACAGAAAGGTCCTGATGAACGTCTGGAAGGTAGATAAATGAGTTGGCTAAACTTAATTTTGTGCTCCTTGTATTAGTACTGCTCACAAATTTTGCAGTAAATTGACAGAAAACTGCTAAAACTAGCTTTTTCTGTTGTGGGTAGAAAAACTAAATTTAATTTCATGTTAGTTTTGGTCAAAGCTTCAAAGAGCCACAGCTGTTTGACCAAAGAGCCACATGTGGCCCCAGAGCCGCAGGCCCCACTAGAACAATAAACCATCATAAACCTTAGACAGGATCAAACAAAATACTAAACTTTGCAAATGGCCCAACTCGGGGCTCACAACTTTCTGCACCGCCACATAAATTAGGAGCACTCAAAGTTTAAACGGCTCCTCAAGCATCACAGTAGCTTTTTAAAAGTTGTATTTTTGTCATTTCCCAAACAAACTTACATCCTGCAAATGATCGCAACAGTAATAAAAAGGTGAAAGTAAATGTTTTGACTTGAGTACAAACAAATTACAAGTCGGTGCTTCCCCTACCATTACACAAAGCAGGGCGCCCCGCCCTGTCAACAGAACCGAACGCCCCGACTACTGAACTGCAACTGCCAGCACCGACGTAGCGCTAAGCTAGCAGCACACAATACAGGCGCGCTATATAAAAGGCTAGAGGTTTCGCTCACGCTGCCTCTTCGTAATCTAGGGAAACACGCAGGTGGTACCCTGATGTCCATCGTCACAGAGGAGTTTGAATAGTGAATGTAGTTTTTCTGGACAGGAATTGAATAGGGGACACAAATACACTAGTACAGCAATTGTAGTTTTGTCCACGTTCAAAATTACAAATTGTCAGGGCGACACAGAACTGCATTCTCTGCAATAACCACACTTAAACCTTGTGTTCATGTTTGCTGTGCGGCCTTTGTTTGTGTTCAGGAAAAAGGGACACTCAGGTGGATGCTATGCGACTAGTAACTGAAGTAGATGTAGTGACATGGTCAAAAACAGCTGGTGTTGGCTTCATTTTGGTCAGGAGGAAAGTGAATAATGGTTTGAGTAACACTTACATAATGCGGGGAGAAACGCCGGTCAAACTCCCTCTGAGCCAGAATGCCCCCCTGTCCAGGGGCACTGGTGTAGCCCACCTTCAAGAAGATAAAACAATCAGCTTTCCTCACCAGCTTGCACACGCACATCCACTGAGATCTTCAGCTGCTCTTACCACTTCTTCTCCACCTTCCTGGGCCTTGTAGCTGACAGAGGCGGAGGTGAAATTAAAGTAGCCGGCCTTCAGGGGGCGCAGCACCACCGTGTGAGAAACATTGCTCGCTCTAAACATCACAGTTAAGGTGATAACATGAAAACAGTACCATTAATTAGTTAGTAAATAGGGACTCCTACCACCTGAGCTACCTTGAAATCTCTTCTCACAGGTCATGTTACAGATGTTTGACTTGTAAAACAAAATGTCACAATTAGGGAGTACGCTGGTGAAGATTCCCAGTCATCTAGGACATGGTAAATTAAAAAAAAAGTTCAAGACAAAAACAACTTGTAATGAAACGTCTGAAGCGAAACGTCTTCTGTTACAAATAAAGTCCAGTTGTTCTTGTCTTGGAACTTTTTTGAATTCACACTTTGAGGAGTAAAACATCTGTACGGTGTAGTGTCCGATCAAACCACCATTACTGCATCAGGTTTATGAGATCACTGTGAATCAGATGAAGGATACGGTGCAATTCGGTCCCATTTAACGTTCAGCATTCCTGAGACGATTCCAAAGTCTTCAGAAGGAAAGGAATCGTCAGAGAGCACCACATCGAGGGCAGCGCTGTGGAGAGGGACAAGACATCATTACATCAAGCCTACGTTCCTGTGTAATGACAATCACAACATTTGGTGTAAAGGTGAGATTTTTGTGCACCACCGTTTTGTTTTTACCGTTATTGAAGTTGTACGTGTGTGTTCAAATAACTAAAAGCTCAAAATAAAAAAACATTCATGCTCATGACGAGTGGAGAAAAACTGCTGACCATGATTGTATTTTCAGAAAAGACGGACTTTTCAAAAGTTTTATTTCACTACAACGACCATGAATGTTCACACAAGTAAACAGATGACCCGCCCAATCATAAAAAAAGATTTAATCAAACCACCTCAATCATCCAAGTGTAGAAAAGTGTTCATTCTTCAAAGAGGCAATTTAAGACTTTTTCATGTTCACTACTGTAATATCATCAGCAAGTATAAGATGCTAAACTGTAAAAATAAAAACTAACAAATGTTCTGCGATCCAAGTCTTGGTTTTAGGGTTTTTAATGGATTTGCTCCTCCACCTTTAAACTCTTATCCACAAGTATAAAAATCAGAATAAACCAGATCTCAGACTAGAGGGGACTGAGTCGTAGCAAGACCGAGAACAAAGGTTGGTTTAACAGTGACGTCAATTAAAGGAACACTTATGGATAAACCACCAGAATATAATCAGACTGATAGTTATTCAGTTTTTAAAAATAAACTTTGGCTTACAAAAAATCAGTCATGCACTCGTTCATTAATTAGGTTTATTTTTAACTAAATTTTAGAGTGTGATGTTGTGCTCATATTGTATCAGCTGTTGCATACTTGTTTTATCAAGCGTTTTTATTTTGCTCAGGACAACTGATGAAAATTAGCTGTCGTGGCGCACATCTATATTCTTTTGTAATGTTGATTAAAGTGCACGATTCTTTTACATAAATAAAACAAGTGAAGATTAAAAGCTTAGCATTCACTACAGTGACTACAGGAATGCATATCCCCCACCACGAGTTTTAAACTAAAAACATAAGGTTGAAAAATGACAGTTGTAGCCATTTTGGTCAAACCTTGTAAATGTGTCATTTTATGAGTTGGAGATCTGACAAGATACGTTTTCACTTGAAGTATAAGCTGTGAACGACTCAGCTACTACCACACCAACTTTAGCTCAGCGTCGGTGCAAAGAAAAGTTGAATGGAAGAGGCAACAAATGCATTTAAGATAACCAGATGTAGGCCTGTTACAACCCAATCACCAGGACATAAATTTGCTTCAGATTCCAGAGATCAAAAATTACATCGGGCGTATAGGACTCATTAAAATTAGGAACCCATTATAAACTCTGTTCTACATTCTGAGCAATTTTCATGAGATTTTGCCAACCCGAAGTGGTTTGGAAGTTTCGGGATCAGAATGGTCTGATCAGGTTATTTTCATCTCATTTTATATTGCTCTACATAAGAGCTCTGCAGTGACTGGTCTGAATGAGTACCCGCCAGTAGCGATCACCCTGATAGTCACTAAATGCTTTTGAAGGACTGATCATGGTCCACATCAAAGCTACAATAAACATCAGCGAGGACACTCACAAGTACGCATACCACAAGAATCGATCCACAGAGGACGCCATCTCCTCTGTGGTCCATACTGCTCTCACTCACCTAGAGCAGAAGGACTCCTACGTCCGTATGCTCTTTGTGGACTTCAAACCGGCCTTCAACACCCTGATTCCTCAGAACCTGATGGACAAACTACTCGCACTAGGACTAAGCCTCAACCTATGAAACTGGTGCCTGGATTTTTTAACTAACATGCCAAAGTCTGTGAGGATCCATAACTTCTCCTCCACCATAACCCTCAGCCCCGACTACCCTCAGGGCTGTGTGTTGAGCCCCCTCCTGTTCACATATGGCACATCTACCCATCCAGGCTGTCATATTGTAAAGTTTGCAGACGATACAGCGGTGGTTGGATGCATCACAAACAATGACGATAGACTTTTTTGCTGCATCCAATAAAAACGAGTTGTAATCCAACTGGGGAACTCTGATTTGTTATTGTACGTTACTACTAGATGCATTTTAAAACCTAAAATACAAAATTTTAACTTATTTAAAGACTTTAAGACCTTAAAATGAGACTGTAAAACCATTCAGAAACCCTGTTTAAGCTGAATAACAATATGTAGCGTTTTCCCAGTGGTTCAAGATATTTTGCTAACAGATGAACACACACACTGACCTGGAGCCCACGTTGTATATGTTGTACTGCAGGGTCAGGTCCCGGCCCTCCACAGCATAGCGGTTCAGCAGGGCTTTGGAGGCCAGCAGCCGGGCTCCCTCTTCTCCCGTCACCAGCACGAGCGCAGCCAGCAGCACACTCACGCGCAGCACCGTCATGGTCATCATCTGGAAGAGAGACGAACTTTAACAAAACACCTGAAACAGCTCTGATATTAGCCGAGGACGGTAAAATGGATGTAAATGTAGGTAAAATACAAACGATCAACTATGGCAGAAGGCTGTAGAAACATGTAGCTGAGCTTAAACTGATAAAAAAAAAAGCTAAACTTAGGTTTGTCGCCCTAAAAGTAATACGCTTACGTGGACTTCTATAACTAGTGTTGTCTACGTCAGAAAACCGGCATAATTAGTACAATTAACCGAGTTTATATAAGAAGCACACAATCAGTTTAAACTGAAAAATGTCCACAAAGCGGAACAAAACCTAAAAAAACCAAACAAATGATAAATGAAAACAGCACAGAACCCAAACAGTTACCGTTTCAAGACTGAACCGTAGAGAAGAAGGAAGTGATGCACATGCGCAGTGGCTTAAAGCTAACGTGTACCTCATCATCCAATAGGAAGAGAGAAATTTCTTCTTCTTCGCTGTTTAAAAGGCGGCTGGCAAACAGTCTTAAAGTGCATTACTGCCACCCATGAGGATGGAATAGAATAGTCTTCATTGCTTTGGTACACTGTATCATCATTTTTTTAAATAAATAAATACAGGTGCTGGTCATAAAATAAGAATATCATGAAAAGGTTGAATAAAAGACTCAGTTTTTCTTACCAGTCACTGCCTTTTGTGCTATTTTAGGCTAAGATAATCTTTTCATGAGGACTGGGTTCTAGATGTTTTGATCAAACGTTCAATTTCTTGTCTTGAGTGACTTTAAGCAATGTTATGAACTCTCGTGCAATCTTTTAGCATTCAAGAGTGTGTTAGATATTATTCTCCGCTCTGAACAAACTATTTGTAAAAGTAGCTGAGTTGTAACCATAGCTGTGGTGGCTCACTTAAAAAATCCACCAGTTTTAAATGTGTATCTAATAATACTTTCAATTGAATTTTTATTAAAATCTGTCCCGTTGCTCCTAATATGTTTTGCTAACTGCCATAAACCATTGAAGTCAACCTGTCTAAGTATAAATAAAAAATCTCCCAAGATCTGTTGGGTTGGATGGATACTCTCAACTATGTAGACTAAGCTGTAAAACTGTTTCTTAGCAACTTTTGTGTTTACTAAAACCAGTATCTCACTGTTGGCCACAAATTGAGATTATCATTTACAATGGAGACTCCACATTGTCTCAAAAATCTTCTTTCAGTTTCTTTATGTGATTAGTAGGGCCTTATAGTCTTGCCACTTAAATATTGAACAGGTTTATACTATTTGCACACATACTACCACAGATACACCCCGTCTGCTACAGTCCCCAGTGCAGGTGACACCTGAGCCGAGCACCTTACAGCACTGGAGCTCGCCTCTCCAAATAAACAGAAAAAAATTATAGCAGTAGTGGCGTTTTACCACAGTTGATGGAGCAGTAACCAATCCGTGATGTCCTCCGCCAGCAAACTTTTATTTTCTCCAACTCCATCAGGCAGCTCAGACCATCAGAGCAGGTGTACTGAAGCAGATGCTGCTTGTAGAGGAAGCACAATTCACTCTGTTGTGTTTTTAGGCCAACATGTTGGTAATTTCAGAAGCTTACTGTCTGATTTTAATAGAGCTGCGTCTGAACAGGTACTGGTCCAGTGTTCAAGGTCCAATCACACTAAGGATAATGATCTTTTTTTATTTTATTTAAATTGCTATTTATCTTCATTTCTGTAGTTTGCTTCAGTAAATTAAATCATGTGAAAGTGGGCTCAAAATGGGCTGAGATGTGCATCATAATATTGTGCAGAACAGTTATTTTTTTTAAAAATGGCCACACAAAAACGACATCAATGCTCACTGGAAGCAAACACTCAAACTTCATTAGAATTTACTTATTTACTTGCTAGTCTGAGTTGCTAGCTAGTCTCCAACAAGTGAGAGATAAACTACAGTCCCATATAAAACCATACTGAGAGTTGTTGCTGCAAAAGGATCATCTACAAGAAGTTAGATCAGGAGCTGGATGCAGTTTTTCACTCATAGCTTATATCTTGGCTTTGTTTTTGCTCAATACATTTTTACATAAAGTATCAGTTCTATGTGATTGAGCTGAGAATATGAGCCTTATGACTTTTCAGTCTCCAGGTCCTGATCAGGAGTCAACAGGATGGATGGACGCATCAGAATGGACCAGGACAAATGGATCAGGATGGATAAACACACCACGTGACGTGAGAGTGGGCGTGTCCCGCTGCTGAACCTCACCTGTTCAGGAGAGTTTTCTGTAAAGCCCAAGCGCAGCGGATCAGTCACTTATCAGGTGTTACAGTCTGACGCATGACCATGCTGAGGACCAGGGAACTCCAGCTCCTCGCGCTCCTGATGCTGATGCTGCTGCTGCGCGAGAGCAGCTCAGCTGTTCAGAACGACGCCACGGAGTCCGGCAGCCTTCAGCCGGACCTCCAGAGTCAGGACCAAACAGGCGATGAAGACTCAAACCAGGCCCGGCACGGCGCGAGGCAGCCGGACGAGCCCGTGCGTAACGGTGAGTCCAAATTACGCACAAGCCTCCAAAACAACAGGATTTACTCTGAAACATGAAATGTTAGATTTAATTAATTATATAGCTTATCTTATAGTAACACTTGTTTATTTAGAAATTTTCACAGTAAAACAACATAAAACAATATTAAAAAGGCAATTAACCAAATGTAGTAGAACATAATACATCAAATAGGCATGCAATTATAAAAATCAACTAAATGCTTGTTTAAATTTAAAATGACTAGCTGTTATTTATTTAATGTATTATTTGTTTGTTTGTTCATTCATAT